GCTGAACCAGCTGCACCTCCTTAATTACAGAGCCCAATTAACTCTTGACCTCAGATGCAACAGATGTGGAAAAAACAACAAAGAAGTAAGCACTGCAGACCCAATCATGCTTTACAAATCTCATAGTTTATTTTTCTCTCTGTGCAAATCAGTGCTATTTCACATTACTCACATTTCACAGTGCAGGGAGCAGGATTGATTACAACACTGCAGTTCTGTGGGATTGTTCTGGGTTCCAGATCCCAAGCAACCGCTGTGCTGATGATCTGGAGTGGAAAAGAACTGCCCAGCCAGCATTCCAGTGCCTGTTACTTGGGATACAAGCTACCTCCACAGCACCACCAAGGGAAGCCTGCTTCCCTCCTCAGGCATGCAGACTCCAAGGATTTACAGCCAGCAGCATACAAAAGGTTTATGGCACAGTTTCAAAGTCAGAGCTAGCAGAGACAGATGAGGAAAGAACAAATTACAAGCTCTTTTCATAGGCACTTAATCCCACATAGGACAAAACAAAGCAAAGTTCAGCAGTGGAAGGAAATGCTGGTCCCTTAACTAAGAAGGCAGGGATCCAGCCTGGCCAGCAGTGCTCAGAGCTCCCTGTCTGCTCTGCTAGTGGTCACCACTGGGACAGAGGGAACAGGACATGAAGCCAGGCAGTTCAGGCACATGGAAAAATGATCGAAATCCCTGTATATGGCCAATAGGAGAGACCCTTGGGGATACTGTGCAATAGTAGCTCATACCACTTATCAGGAGGTTCTCTGAGGAAGCAATCATGGGTTACATGGAAATTTTATTGTGTAATATTAAAAATGTAATAATGTGTCACTTAAAGCACCCTTCCAGAACTCAGTCAGGTCACACTGGCTGCACAGTGCCACATCACTGTTCAAATGCAGAGAGAATGAACCAAAAAAACTGATCTGGGAAAACAAAAGCAGCTCCCTCACTAGCAAGAGGGAGCCTTCCATGGCAGTGGACATGAGGGAAGCAGGGACACAGCTGCACAGTGTTTACCACAGTTGAGTAGTTCAGACACACATACCCAAGACTGCAGTCAAGGAGCCACATCCGTTTGCTATATCAGAGTCAACCCTGTCTCACAAAACTCATTAGCAGTGGGTGGAGAGAGACTGCAAATCCCAGCATCCACAGGGACTGACTGAAGGATGGCTCAGACCTCATTATTAGAAGGGCTTTCCCTGCCCAGCCTGTCCCCAGTCAATGGCTCTGGGAACTCCTGGCCACAGTGCTGGGAGGGAAGAACCCTTCTTTGCATCTGAACACCCGGAGCTACATAATGGGGCTGTTTAAAGGTAGTGTTGCCATTTTCATGGAATGAACAGACAGTGATAGCAGAGCAGAGCTTCCTAGCAGCATGACAAAAACAATGGAAGGCTGTGACTGACCCATTTTCAATCAAATGGAAAATTCTGCATGCTTCCCAGTTTAGTTTCTCCCTTTGAGACATCTCATAGCAACAGCTTTGCTCTATTAGCAGCCTGTCCTTGTAAGGAAAAGCAGGAGTCCATTAGCGATCCAAATTTATCACTGGGGGAACTCTGCTGACCTAATTACATTAGCCACATATTTGACCTATTTTGTTAACCTTCCTCTGCATTTTCCACAGATAAAAGGAAAACACCTTTCAACTTCAATCAGGACAGCAGGGAATACAACGAGCAAGAAGTAGGAAAAAGAAACGAAATAGCCATGCTGCTCTCAGCATTCCGTAAGACTGGAAGCCATAACCCAAGCACATGCATCTACAGGGGCAATGCATCAGCAATGGGTACAGACAGCTCTGACTAGAGCAGCTCTAACCTGTGTGCACATAGGAGCACTGGAAGGGTGCTGGAAGGACGACCACTCACAGGCTGGCTCCAGGGATGTAAAGCCAGTCAGCAATGGCAGTGGGCAGGTGGGTCATGACTTGCAGCCTCACCCACCAGTACATCTCCATGGGATTGTAACGGTTGCTCGGACATGGGGAAGTGAGTGCTTCGGTGATGTCATCCAGGACCAGGGACATGTCCTTCAGGCCACTGTTAACAAAATACTTCATCAAGGCCACGTGGTGAGTGAAATATTCCCTCCCATAGTCCTCCTGCACGGTGTGGCTGGCCCCACTCCACAGAGCCTCAGCCTGCTGGTCGACGCCATCTGCTGTCAGGATGCCTGTGGCTGCCACGAAGTTACTGGGCTCAATGAGGATGACTCTGACACCCCAGCGGTACATCTCCTGCCGGAGGCAGTCAGAGAAGGCCGCCACCCCAAACTTGGAAACACAATAGCAGGACCGAGATGGACTCGCCATCCGTCCCAACATACTGGTGATATTCACCACACGGCCTAGAGAGAACAGAGCAGTGAGAGAAGGGCTGCAGAAGCAGCAGCCAGAACATCCCAGTAAAAAGGTGCTTTGTTGGAAAATCTGAATCTTGAAGAGGCATCCAAATGCCCTGTCAAGGAGCCCTTCTCTCCTGCCTCAGGAAAGACTAGCCCTTGCTCTGACCTTCCTCCATGGATGGTATACATACCTGTCTCTGTATTAAAAAGGATTTAAAAGCATACAAGACATTTCCCTCTTTCGTTGTCAAGCAAGAAAGTACCCAGATCTCCTGAGGCTACTAGATGTGTTCCTCTCACATCAGTGAGCCCCACTCCTGTGCCTTGCTAGAGAAGTGCTCAAGCTCCCAGCTAGCATTGTTAGGAGCTGGAAAGCACACCACATAACATGACACCAAACAAGTGTTCTAGTTCTTTCTGTAAGCACAACAGCTCATCTGCAGCCACTCTGCCTAACACAGCTACATGCTTCTAGATGTGAGCTTGATGGCAGAGAACCAGCAGAGACTTCTCTGAACCTGCAGTATGATCAGCACAGCCTGCTCACCCAGCTGTCCAGCCAAGACTGCCTAGAGTGCCACACAGCTGAGACAAACAGAGAGGAGACTCGACCTGCTGCTAAGGGGCAGTGCAGAGTAACTGTCCTAACTCCCACCGGCAGCCCACACCAGGGTGATTGCAGAGCTCTGGCAGCCTGTGTTACACACTGTCTAGAAGCAGTGACAGCAGTGGTGACTCTTCTGTGGATATCTCTGTCCTTCCTCAAGACAAGATGTACGCAATTACGGTTTCAGATGCACTTACAAACAGGCCCTTGAAATCTCACCAGCTATTTTTACAGAGAGGATTTTCGCAGCCATGGAGCATGACACCCTTCTGCAGCCTGAAATTTTAGCTGAGAAACAAGTGGGTGGCTCTTCTCTCTCATTCCAGATCCAAGTGCATCTTGGAAGGACTGTGAGAACTATGTGCTGACCTGATGGGTAAGCTACCTTTTGCACTGAGATTGGGCTTGTTTAGTGGGTAACTTGCTTTCCATTGCTCTGAGCAATCTTATAAAAATAACCTCTTTCTCTCTTCACATAACACACATCTGTGCCAGCATTCTCCCACACATGCTAAATAAAGCTCTTCAGATTCTCTGCATGCATAACTTTTCTTTTTTTTTAATATAAACCAAAGACTTGTTGTCTTGTAATACTGTTGTCTTGTAAGATATCTAAGATGGTTGTTACTGACTGTATTTATTCCACTAGTACCACTCTGCAATAATCTATGAACAAATACCAAGACAGAAGATTCAGTTATCTGAACATAAGCACTTAGTGGACTCTGGAGGCCAGGATTATCTTGTCTGGTCTCCAGTCATTTTTTTCTAAAGGTGGCCTGGTGTCCTGCATCGTATCTTCCAGCACTGCACAAAGGTCTCTGATATCCTGGGATGTTGAAGTTAGTACCTGCTGTGTAGGTGACTGACTGCCCCAAGAGTGGCCTGTACTAACAAGTGCTTAGACAGCATGTTGAAACCAGCTGTCTAGTTTGTCTGCATGACTTGGACATCCTCCCTGGACTGCATAGGCACTCCTCAAAGCACAGCCTGAGTCAAGATTTTAGCTAGATCTCCTTGCTACGCTGCAAAAGTACTCTCTGAATCTTGCTACTCTGCCCAGCACGTACCTTTAGCTCTGCGAATGAGGGGCAGGAAAGCCTTTGTCACCCTCACAGTGCCCCACAGGTTGATCTCTGCCACCTTCTTGTAGTTGTCTAAACTTGCAAATTCCACCTCTCCGAAGGTTGAGACACCAGCATTGTTCACCAGGCCCCACAGACCTGCCAATAAACACATAATGAGTGGAACAAGGAGGAGTGTTGCAGAGAAAAAGCCTTTCTTATCATTCAGAGTATCCCAATCCCTTGACAAAGAGCTGAGCACTTTTGGAAAAAGAATGCAGAGAAAAATCCAGCAAGGAAATGAAATACACTCTTGGTACACCAGAAGTTAAGCCAGGGGGGCTTGTTTGCAACAACATCAAGGAGAGTGATGGGGTCACACAAACACTGGCTCTTTGAATGTCTCCTCTAAGGTCAAAGGCTGACCTGGGGCTTTGTATGCCTGGATCTGGCGGACCCTCTTCTATGCCTCCTGTCAGTCCCAAGTTTGTCTTCACTTACTGATTTTATCATGGCTTTTGCAGTTCAGGGGGGCTGGACTGGACTTTCCTTCAATTTAGAAAAAAAATTAAAATGTGGAGGGGGAAGAAAGCAAATATATTTGCTTTCTAAATCCCCTTCACAAATCACTGTTTTGGAAATTGTATAGTATTGATCTGCAAGTTCAAGGCCCAGTTAACAGCTGCTGTACTTGGCTAGGTATTTGTACAGGTATTTGGCTTCTCAACCCCAACTACAGCAGAAAATGGCAAACTTAAAACTAACCCTTTAAACTACTAGAATTTAAAAAATAACATACTTTGTGCATGAAGCCCTGTCAAAATTAAATTGACTGCGCTTACTAAGAGCTTCTGCACCGAGCCCTTTACATGTTCAATACTTAACAGTACTTGACTCTTCAAAGTGACTACTGCAGGAGTCCCAGAGGCAAACACGTGTAGGACTGGATTCATACTTTATGAATCTGCAAGGACTATGCAGCCATAAACTGCAGAAGGAACAAACAGAAGACCTGGAACAAGATAATATAGTTGCTCCTCCTTAGATGTCCTGCCACACACCATGGTTATTATTTTCACTGTGTAAGTACTCAGTTGGGAGTCAGGGCCCCTTTCCACTCCCTGACCTTCCTCTTACCGCCAAGAACAAACACAGGGCTAAGAGCGAGTCTTCAGGTCCAGGGAGCTCTGACACTGCTATCAAAAGCACCCACGTCATGCCACCCTGTTGATAAAACTTATCAAGCTCTCTCTCAGTTATTTTGGGCTGTTTACCCTGCTTCTGCTCCATAGCTTCCTTGTCCCAATGTATGAAAGTCCTTTAATAACTTTCAACCTACATTTATTCATGGTCAGATAGTAACCACATATTGTAAGAAATACAGCCCTCTAAGCAAACTGCAATATTCTACTATTGCCCAATAAATACCAATGGAATTTCTCCTCCTGGTTCATGTTAAGACACCAGCATGTCCTTGCTAGATTGGCCCTCTACTCTCTTATCAGGCCTTGGAAACACCACCCTGTGCCCAGCTAGGTTCATTTTCGCTGAAGGCTGTTGACTAACTGTGTATAGGGGAACAGAAGTCAAACCCTGCCCAATGATAACAATGTGTTAGCCAGTCCCTCACAGTCTGTTCCACAATGGATTTCCCTATTTGCTTCTCACAGCTGCCACCATTCCTGCATCTCCCAGCTCTCACCTGGTGATCCCAGTACCCCCTTTTGCCCTGCATTCCTGTTTCTGACAGAGTGGTGAATATTGCTCCAGTTGACTGGCTTGCAACTCTACCCTCCTTCTAGAAAAACTCTTTTCCAATACCTACCAGGCAACAACAGCCCCAGGGACTGTTTGGGGTAATAGCCAAATTGTGGCCTGCAGCAGAAGGCAAGAAAACATTTTGTGCACCTATCCTTACTTCCATTCTCATTAATTCAAGATTCTAAATGCTGCAGTCAGGTAGCTCTGCTTCTGCTCTGCCCAAGATCCTGTTGCTGCTGCACTTACTGAAGCTGCCAGCTTTAATGGGTCAAGATAACTCTGAAGTTCACACTCACCTGGCAGCTAGCACAGAATCTCAGCCTGAACCAGATCTCCTGTGCTGTTGCAAAGCAGCTCTAACCACTAGCAGAGGGCCATGGAAATAGGGTACCTGATGGATTAATTTGACTAGTAAAAAGAAGCTATGCAGAGCAAATTTGGCAGGAATTTACCAAACACCACAAAAGACTTAAGCTGTCAGTCCCCTCTGCAGAGTATTCTTGATTCAAAATTTCTCTATAACTATTTCCCATTTCTTGGGAAGACTAGATTCAGGGATGTTCATGAAAACATTATTTACAATAGCTCATTCGTGGAATTTCATTGCTCCCCAGTCAGGTCATGTTACAATGGAACAAAGCACTGATAGGTACCTGGTGGCAGGGCTGTTTGCTGGACAGCAATGTGTTTATTGAGCAGAGCCTTATCACTATTATTTCTTTACTGTCAACAGTACAGTGGGAGCTGCATAAGCCTGAAAGCAAACAGGAGCATTCCTGTTTAAATGCCTTTAGCCTTATGTACACAGCACAGTGAGAAGAGCTATAAAAGTACAGCACAAGAACTGTTCTGCCCTGGTTCCTCTGGGGCCACACTCACTGTGCAACAAGCACCTCTGTGCAAAGCACCTCAGTCTCAATAGTCTCTATGTTCCAGCACTTATTTATTGAGCACTATTTACTGGCAAGCCCCAAATCTCAGTCACTCTGATGTGCCTGAAAAGAAGCCTTTGCTGCTTTGCACACTGCTGGAACAAGCAACTACAGGATAAGGCTCTCAAGAGCAGGAGGAACCAGTCCAACTTGCTGATCAAGGATGCAATATTTCTCTGTCCCTTCTACACACATGGTTTTGCAAATACTGCTGCATTTATAGAAGCAATAGAGCTATTCCCTTACAAGCTTTAACTAGGTGGGACATGGCTCTGTGCCACCACTGCTGTTTCTGGGCTCTTCAAGGAAAGCTTGAGAAACTGAAATGTGTGATGAGGGCTGGGTGACTGTGTAGGAAGAAAAATCACGCAGAGGGAACATGTGTAGGATCAGAGCCTGTATGTAACTCAGTTACATTTCATGCTTGTTTTAGGAGGAAGGGTGTGCTCATGTAATTTGCATTAATATTAGAGCTACTGTTATTTAGTAGCTTTATACTTGCTGTGAACAAAGAGCGAGCTGTACTGGAAATAGAAAGACACACACACACCTTCCTCTGGCTCCTTTAGTGTCCTCTTCACAAAATCCACAGCCTGAGCTACCTCCTGGTCACTGCACACATCCATCTGTAGCACTTTCATGCGATCTGACTTCATGTTCTTCAGCTCCCTGGCTCCGTCTCCATTCTCATCCTATTCAGCAGAAAGGAAAGATGTCCCACTAAGACAGACAAGGAACAGTAATGCAGCTTGGGGACAGGCATGTTCACATGGACAGGAAACTGAAGCCACAGAAATAGCACCCGGAAGTGTAAACCTGGTGCACAAAGAGGCACACAACCTACACAAACCAATGTGCAACCCATGGCCATCTTCCTATTCTCTCCAGCACAGCCCCATATCTGGATCAGCGACCCACTGTTCTGAAGGGTGACAAGGTCCCTGCTATTAGCTCCTCACATGAAGGGTTTCACATCTGTAACACTGTCAAACACTGCACCAGCCTGGCATAACTGTGGGAGACTCCCCACTGCCTCAGTCTCCATGCTCTGCAGGTAGCATAACAAACATTTGTACATAAATCAGAGTGAGATTTTCTAGGCTTAAAAGAAAAAGGCTAATTGGGCACTGTACTCATGTCATCCCAGAACACTGCATGGCTTCTAACAAAACAGGATTGTCAGAGCACTTTGGAAACAAGACAGCAGGGACGCCTTTGGCACAACAGGGTGCACAGGAATACACACACAGCAGAGACCTGCCACACAACAATATCACAGACATGAGGCAAATTTTCCCCGGTCACTTCCAGACAGGATTGCTGCCTGAACTGTGCAGCCTTGCTCAAGAGGTATACAACAAATAAAAGTGAAAAGAGCTCAGATTAGCCATGTAGTTCAACAGAAGGCTCAAGATTTAATTCACCAAACTGCTCCCTGAATCACAGGCTCTGCCTCGTTAGGGAGGAAGAAGTTATGAATTGGTGAGTCACTATGCCTGGCTGCCACTCTTCCTTTAGCACTTGATACCAACTCCCACAGTACAAGGGCAAACAAGGTGAGCAACCCTCCCACAGTCACCTGCTCAGCTGCCTCTGCAGCCAGGCTGATGGTAAAAACATGTAACTGTTTAATTTTTCTATACATAACTCAGGCTATTTAATAAATATATTATACAACATCTCAATTCCACCTTCAGTCCAGTGAACTGCAACACATAATGAAGGAAAAGAGCTGAAATGTTCATCACAGGCTTGAACAAAACAGAGTAACTCTAAAAATCAATATATAGTTACACCAGTTATCACAGTAACAGGAATGAGTTGCTGGCCCCATAGTTGTGTATCATGTCACAGCTGACTTATTTCCAGGTAAGAAAAAAAGCCAGTAAATAAAGACTCGAAGCTTTTCTGATTCACACAGAATACAGTGACATGTTGTGTCCAACACTCTTATAAAGCCACAAGAAGTAGCATCAGAAGTAGTCCCCCAATACCAGCCTGCAACACCTTATTAACGCCTACAAGTATCAAAAGTGTGGGTGCATGGAGGATGGAGCCAGACTGTTTTCAGTAGTTCCCACTGGCAGGATGAGGCAGCACCACCCAACTGCTCCTGCAAAACCTCCCTCTCTCTGCTGCAACTCTTTTGGGTAAGATTTTTGTCCTTTCAGAGTATCTCCCGTCTTCCATGTCTCGGCATCATCAGAACTGAACCTGCCCTGCTCCAGCCCAACCTGCTGCCCTAGTACTCTCCCGAGAGGCCTTCAGTGGGACTTCACATTTCCTCCCAGCTCTTGCACTTCCCCCAGTTATCCTGCCCTTGCAGCCCTGGCAGTTCTGGCTACCCACCCCACCCTCGCATGGCAGCGGCTGCTCCTGGCAGCGAGCCTGACAACCACACAAGCCCTCTCCACCCAGCAGAGGAGCCTTGCTCCAGCTTTCAGCTGTCTCCCTCTCCCCTTGCTCCAGCTTCTGGCTTTTCCCCTTCCCCTTGCTTGCTCCTCTTCCCTGCTGTGGTTTGGAGGATCCCAATGCAGCTGGTGGTGAGAGACAGGCAGATGACACAGGGGCTTGTTAGCAGAAAGTCCTCCTGTGATGGACAGAGCCGTGGCTTTTTCCTAAGGAAGTTCATGAGATTCAGGATTAGGTCCTGGCAAGTACTTGGGCAGCCAACGGGACACATCAGCGGGAACCAGGAAGCCACAAACACAATGCTGAAGACCCGTGGATCCGGCCAGCTCACTCCATCTACGCCAGTTCCCCCCCCACCCCACTGCTGCTGGTCCACCCGCTCCTTTCCTGCCTTTCCTGGGCAGAACACCTCGTGTTTGTAATTACTGGATTCCACCTAATTGGTTTCAGGCTCCATCCAATCTATCAGGATAATTTTGAACTCTATTCCCCAAGGAGCCTGCAATCCTCCCTGTTTGGCACCACACACATCACTCTCAAAGTGAACACTCTATTCCAGGAGGCACTTCCAAGAAAATTTCCTGAGACTGAGCTGCAGTCACAGACTCTGCTCATGAGACTATCATGAGGGACTGTGTCAAAATCAGGATACATTCAGGATACATTTATTCCTTCCCCTTTAACCACTCTGCTGCTTAGCCAGAATGAGATTAAACTGACAGAGCACAGTCTGTTCCCAGTAATTTAAAAGGCCAGTGTGCATCACACTGTGATCTACACATTCGTAAAATTGATGGTTCAGTGTGTTGTATCTTCACCTAATGCACCAAAGGAAGGCTGCGTGCTTGGCAGTTCCAGAGATGTGTCTCCTTTGGGACAGGAAGTGCAGAGGGCTAACTTCAGGAGCATTTATTTTATGTGATTTCAAATGGAGCCTGGCCTGCTCTGCCCTAGCGTGCTGCCTTCTGAACAGCCCTCTCAGACCACCCTATCTCCCCTCTCCTTTCTCTTCCCTGGTGATTGCCTGACTTGCTATCACCAGAGAAAGGCATCCCAAAGCAGCATATGACATGATTATTGGAGGATTTACAGACCCTCCACGTGGAAATTTCCAAATAGTGGCAGTTTTCCAACAGGACTCTCTTACTCTCAAATTACACAATAAGTCAGCTGATAATAACTTTCCCTTCTGGTGTGGTGGAAGAACGTAACCTCCTCTGAAATCACACAGGCAATAAGGGCCACCTTTTTGTGTTTGTTCTCACCCTCTACACTACTCAGGAATCTGTGGTCATTGCCACCTGAATGCCTGGGCTGAAACAGCCATCTTCACATGGAGAAACAAGTGGGCATGAACCAATTTTGAGCAACTCAAATTAGAAATTACTTGAGTTTTGACTATCAAAACAGCAAAAAAGCATAGTAAGGGTAAAACCCTAGTTGGAGATGGAAGTAGAAGTGGCCCAGTTTATAAAGAGGATTACACAACCTGCAAGAGCAGAAACCAGGACAATGGATCTGCAGCCCCTTCTGATTCAGTGTGCCTAAACTCATCTTTTACAGCAAGGGATGCTCTCTGCCAAACACAGGTGACAGAGGGTGAGGCCTATAAATACCAGAAAGGTACAGTAAAACAGAACCTGAACAAGGCAGGAGAAGCAGCTTGGAGATGAGTTTGAGGAGAGTGTCTCCAAAGGAAAGTGACAGAATGAAAGACAGCAACTTTGATGCCATAGTGCCATAGCAATCTTGGACTATTAGATTTATTGAGTGTATTGTGGTATTGCCAAGAGGCTTTCAGCAGAAAACAGGGCCCTGCTGTGCAAGCTACTGTACACACAAGCAACTGACAGACAGTTTCTGCCCTGGACAGCTCAGAATTACAGGAACTACAAGATGCAACAGGGCAGATGAAGCAATGGAAGATGTAATGATCCCTGCCAACTACACTTCCCCCAGGTCTTGGACTAGGGTAAATGGAAGCTGCAGATGAAGATGCTGTCACTTGAGAAGTGTTTTTCTCCAATCAGAGAAGCATTTTGATCAGTATTACTACTCACCATGAGCAAGCACCCAGCAAAAACAGTAAATCCCTTTGCATGAAGCTGTTTTGCCAAGGCATGTCCAAAACCTTTGTCACAGCCTGTTATTAGCACCGCCTTCCCTTTAGCCTGTGTGGAGAAAACACAATACAATGCCATCAGATACTGCCATGATGCAGGCACCACCAGTGCTGAGTGACACAACACAGGAGCAGCTTGCAGCCCTGCAACCAGGGCCAGTCAGTGTCTAGGAGGTACAATTCCAGCCGTAAGCCACAGCGGGCATATGCCTGTCTGCACACTAACCTGACTGCAATCTAAACCAAATGGTTTCAGCAGAGATTCTGCTGGGTCAACCAGCTCAAACAAGATGACAACATTTCTGTGTAAAAACACAACCAGCTCCAAATCAATGTGAAATCCAAAATTTATTCAACTGCCAGTCTGTAACATTTGTGTTGCCTCAATACCTGAGCTAGAACAGTGTTTTCTTTCAAGTATCAGTGGCCAAACAGAAAAGAAACATTTCAAAAGAACTTAGTGATCTACCAGCTCACGGGCTTTGTAAGAAAGAACAGCATAGAAAACATCCAAGTGATAGCATCATCTGCTTGAACTGTACAGCAGCTCCTTACAGAATGACTCTCTATTTTCTGTTTTCTACCTACTCCTTCTCTATACAGTACTTCCCATGCTGTATTTTAGTATGCAGCAATGTGACTGCAGGTGAGGGTTTCCTTCTGGAACACCAGTCTTAACAGGAAAAACTTATCAAATCCCACATAATTATTATCTTTTGACTGATGGATAAATTGAGAGAGAAAATCTGATACTCCACCTGGTGTGACACAACAGGCTTGTGAGAGACCTGAAAACAGAATCCCAAATCCTGAAGAGAAGCATATACCAAACCACTGCCCATTCATCCTATTTCTTTGCTAGAAATTAATCTCTCACCTAACTTTCTCACCACAGCCATGAAACAATCATCTCCTAATGCTTAGTTCAGCTTGCAGATACCCAACGGCAGTGCTGCACACAACTTCAAACTGAAACCGTATCTGTGAGGCAATAACATAATAGCAATAAAGAGCTAAAGAATACAATAAGGAAGTGAGGTCACTTCCAACTAAGTGGAGATATCAGCAACTCATATTCCCTGGTACTGTTATTAGCCACAGCTGGAATATAAACTTCTCCATGCTTGGTAGCGAAGTCGCAATAAGGAGTAATTGCAGGGTGGTAGCAATCAGAGCATTACTGCACAAACTCAGGATGTGCAGAAAGCAATAAACAAATGCGCTACACCCTGTCTTGCCCTGTATGTCCTATTGAAGCTATCATCATCAAAGGGGAGTAACGATTTGATGTTGAAAGAAGAACTGATCAAAAGTCTGTCCTGCATTTAGCACAAACACCCACATTAACACCAATTTCTATGCTCAGGCAAAAGCACCCAGCTACAGGCTAGCTCTGCTAAACCTCTGAAGGTAACAACAGCTAAAGGACATACAATGAGAATTAAATATACTGTGCTCAGTCTTAATCTAATTTACAGTGACACAACTCCAAGAGATAAGGATCAAGTACAAACCAGATCACAGAATTTGCCAAGGTTACCTCCCACTTAAATTCAGCAACCTAGCCCTAGAAGAGAAAAGCATTAGACTTTTTTTTCCCTGCCTCACCTCCTTAGACTTTGCCTCTGAATCCTGAGGAGGCTTCTGAAAAGGGCAGCAACCAAGCAGAAGACAGAGAGTTATAATCACTTCCAGAGCCCAGGACAGGCAAATAAACAAGATACCCAGTCCTCAGCCATTATTAACTTCCTCATCAGCAGGTCTAATGAGGACAGAGCTCAGCTGCAGGAAATGGAAGCAAATGGCTGGGATGTGTTTCTGTGTGCATCTAGTTTTAACTCTCAGCAGCTGGTTTGCTTTCTAGGGTAAAAAAAAACAAAACAACACACCAAACTACACAGAAAGGAGGTTTAAAAATCCTTTCCACTGTCTATAATGGTGAGAAAACTGAGGAACAACTTAAGAGTACAAAAAGGCTCCTGTGATTATTTGTTAATTATTTTTATTACACTAATTGCTGGTAATAAGACATGTGGCTACAGCAGCATGGTTCATAACAGCCTGAGGCCCCAGCAGTACTAATGAGCATGCACAGAAAACCCAAGGGATATAAGAGATCTCACATCTGTAGCTGCCCCTGTCTTTGTGCTGTGCCTGACAGACAGAGATCTCCAAAGATGAGAGGCGAGAGCAACACCATTCCCAGCCAAAAAGCTATGCCAAAAAGGTCCAAACACAGAAAAGCTCAATTATCCTTATATTTTGAAAGTCCCAAGATAAGCCTAATGAGCCTCATTCTGAGTTTGATAAAGTCAGTCTGCAGCTCACAGCTTGACACAGTGCTGGGGCAGGCAGGGAAGCTGTCACCTCTCTAGCAGTGACATTAACCGGCACTTTGAGACAATTCAGGTGCCTCACTCACCAGCAAACACACAGTCCTCTCAGGAAATACTGCACAGGAGATGTGCTCATGTAGCAGAGATGCCAGGGCACCTGAGACCTATTGAGAACACAGGGTGACTTCTTGGAGGTGCTGTGCTGGCATTCAGGCCGGGCTCTACTGCCCGTATCCCCGCTGGGTGACCCGCAGCACTGACATACACCTGCCACACAGTTCAAGCACCAGGCAGCCTGGTTTTGACCTGGCGCCATCTCAGGTGCACTCACCTCACTACCTTTTCCTATTGGATCACTTTATTCAATAGCAGGATATTTTACTCATGCCAGTGACCTATCAGAATTATTCACATTTATTGCAAAAGAGGCTAGTCAAGAGAAGCTACTTTTTCAGCCTCAGACTCTCGGGACAACATGGGAACCCATCGTGCTTGCCTGTACTTTATCTTCTACTGTGTCACTTGTTTTCTGGATCCTGTTCCATTTTATGCCCTGCCTTGACCATCTGCTTGTTATCAGATTAATGTGAAGATGAGAGCAAGCACACAGCAGGCTCTGCTTGCTCCCATTTATGAGTCAGGAAGTTGAGGTTTGCAATCCCAGGCAAAGGAACCGAAAACATTCACTAAAGGGAAGGTATTTTCCCGGGTGGGATAGGGATGGGGAAGGTGAGTGCAGCAGAGCAGCTGGAGCCAAGCGGGAGGCTGCAGAAAGGCCAAAGCTGTTATCTGGCCATTTCAGCAGGGCAGGACTGAGCCGGAGGCCCTGGAAGAAGCCCCCGCGGGCCCGGCCGGCTGCCCCAGGCTCAGCACAGCTCGGCGCTTCACCTGCCCGGGCAGTGCGTGCTCAGCCCCCCGAGCCC